AGATAGATAGATAGATAGATAGATAGATAAAAAAGTAAAGATTTGCACTAAGTATTCTATATAAATTCTAAGACTACAATGTAAAATTCTTATATAAACGGTGACATATTCCAAAGGGAATTTTAAAAGTACGAAATAGATCAAAGATCTAAAAGTAAGACCTGAAACTATAAAACTACTAGAAGAAAACATAAAGGAAATGCTTCAGGACACTGGTCTGAGAAAAGAGTCTATGAATAAGATCTCAAAAGCACAGGCAACAAAAGCCAAAACAAACAAAAAGGGTTATATCAAAAAGCTTCTGCACAGCAAAGGAAACAATCAACAGAGTGAAAAGATAACTTGCAAAATGGAAACAAATAGTTACAAGCTATTTATCCAAGAGGGGATTAATATCCAGAACATACGAGGAACTCAAACATCTTAACAGAAAAAAAATCGATTAAAAAATATGTAAATTATCTGAACAGACATGTCTCAAAACACATAAAAATGGCCAAGAAATATATGAAAACATTCTCAACATCACTAATCATTGGGGAAAAGCAAATCAAAACCAAAATGACATACCACCTCACCCCAGCTGGGTTGGCTATTATCAAAAAGTCAAAAAATAACAAACTCTGGTGAGGATGCAGAGAAAAGGAAACTGTTAAACACTGTGGGTGGGAATGTAAACTAATACAACCACTATGGAGAACAGTATGGAAGTCCCTCAAAAAACTACACACACAGATATACACACTGAAACGAACAGAACTACCACATGATCCATCAATCCCACTACTGGGCATGTACTCAAAGGAAAGGAAATCAGTGTATTGAAGACATGTCTGCACCCCCATGTTTACTGCAGCACTATCCACAATTGACAAGACATGGAATTACCCTAGGTGCCCAACAACAGACGAATGGGTGAAGGAAATGTGGTATACGTACACAATGGAATACTATTCAGCAATAAAAAAGAATAAAATCCTGTCATTCACAGCACCATGGATGGAACCGGAGGTCATTATGCTAAGTGAAATAAGCTAGGAACAGAAAGTAAAACACTACATATTCTCACTCACATGTGTAAGCTAAAAAAAAAAAAAATGTTGATCTTATAGAAGTGAAAAGCAGAACAGAGGATACTAGAGGCTGGGAAAGGTGGGGGAAAGGGTGAGAAAGGGAGAGATTTGTTAAGATACAAAATTACAGCTAGATAGGATGAATAAATTATAGTGTTTTATAGCATTACAGGATGACTGTACTTAATGATTATAATGTATTACATAATTTCAAATAGTTCGAAGGAGAATATTGCATGTTCCCAACATAGAGAAATGATCAATGTTTGAGATGATGGATATGCTAATTACCCCAATCTGATCACTATACATTATACTATGGAAATATCACTATGTACCCCATAAACATGTACAATCACTATACATCAATTAAAAATAAAATAAAAATTTACATGTACAGGGTGGTTTGGTAAAATTTCGTGAACATGGCATTTGTTAATTAAATGATTTTTTACTGTAAGTAGCTTAAAGAAGCCAATGAAAACTAAACTTATTTGTGTACATAAACTGCATTTATAACCAAAGTTTTGAAATCAGTAACAGACAAATGGCAGCCAAAGTTCTCATTCTTAAAGGTATAACGCAGGCTCCATTACCAAATATCATTCCTCTTATTAAACAAGAGAACTCAGAAAGAGATTTCTTTTTCCTCCACCAACAGTGAGCTGGTGATAATGATGTCTATTTAATGTCCTTCTTAAATTACTTCCCATGTCAGTTTCACCAAGTTCAGGAACTTGTACCTCAAAAGGAAATCACACACTTGTTTGCTCATCCAGAATTCTGAACAATGATGATCCCTGAGGCCTTGTATTGTGTGACCAATAGGAGCTGTTGATCAACACTGGCATTTTTCTCCCAATGGAACATAGATTTTTTTTAAGTTTCTATTTTATTCTCTATGATCCCAGTGAGAGTAAGTCTAAGAGATTTGGTTTCTATAAAGGAAGGTTGTTGTAGGCCTACTGGTTTCCTGCCTGTTCAAAATGGTCTAGATACATCACCTTCTGGTAATAGCAGCAGAATGTCCAACTCTACTCACAGGTACATCAGATAAACAACTGGATATAGCCTTGATGTGAATTTGAACAGCACATGCATTTAAAATGACTGTCTTGAAGCACACAGAAAATATAAACTCTGTTAAAATTCACGCTTCCTTGCATTCAGATGCTCTAAGGTTTCCATGTGTTTCTGAAGCAAACAAACCTGGAGGTCTAGCAGGTGTACAACTGAGCATTCATGCGACCCGATTATGTGTGATAATAAGGTCCCTCATTGCCCCTGTATCCCCAGGACACAGAACAACTGATTAATTTTTGGAGTCAAAGATGTATCTTTCCGTTGCATGAACAATTACCGTTCAGAGCCTCCTTTCACAAGAAGAACCAACAAACCTAAGAAGTCATGACTCATCCCCACTGAAGAGACTCAGCCTTTGTTTCAGCCCCACATTCCTCAGATGGTTTCCAACATCAACTTCCTATTCTGTGTGGGATATCCTATTCCTTCCTGTGTGTAATCTTCCTAGTGTCCACAGACCTCCTTAAATCAATAAAATTTCAAATTGATTATTTTATATTTATAATCACCCAAGAAGTGAGATTATAGTCAGAGAGAATGCATTGTCACTGAAGTCAAAGGAATAATTTGGACTTTAAAACACTGATATATCTGTGTTCATAAAGCACAGACATAAGACTCTTTCCAATAGAGTAACTAGACTATAGGAAATGGCCCAAAAGCAGCAGGGATCAACTCAGACCCATTTGCACCACCCAGATTGAGACGGTCCAGCAGTGTTAGCAGATTCAGGAATATGCTGGGAAGTGAAGAAGCTGCAAGATAAAAGCCCCTTAGAATAAGCATACTGCTGAAAATCCATCAAAATTAAGCCCAGCAGCTCGCTTCTTCTATCACAAGACCTCATTTTGGGAACAAAATAAATAAAGGTTAGGTGTTATAATGTTGTTCACATTATAAAAGAAAACGAGTGTCTGTTATTATGAAAGAAAAAAAATGAGTCAGAACAAAATAAATAAAGGTTAGGTGTTATAATGTTGTTCACATTATAAAAGAAAACGAGTGTCTGTTATTATGAAAGAAAAAAAATTGGTTGTCACATTATTCTGGCTGATCATTTTGTAAGAATTATTTACTGTGAGCCCAGAACAGATTCTGATAATGAGATGATATTAAACGAGTAATTTTCTCAAGACACTCAATTTTCCTAAGAAGTAAGAAACAGCCTGGTCCTGCATCCACACTGGCTTTCCAGGGTTGCTCCACGTGTTTTCAAATGAGCTTAACAAGCTCCTTATTTCATCTTAAACCTCTGCTACAGGAATTAAGGCCCAGGGATGGGTTATTTTTGTTGTTGTTGTTGCTGTTGTTGTGTTTTGCTGCAATCCAAGTCTGTCAGATCCAATTATTTGTTCCAAGGAGACTGTATTCATTCAGTTGAATATAAGAAAACCAAGGACAAGAATATTATTCAAACTGCTATAGGGCCTCTTATCTCCATGAAGCCAAGGCTACAGGTGGAAGGACAGTCTCAAATACCAGTGACAGAGGTGGCCCAAAAGACCCTCAGGAACTCCCACTTGCTCAAGGTCACATGCTATTGCTCAAGAATCCCAGTTCTGCCTGAAGTAATTATTCGACAATGCTAAATTTCCTCCACTACCTCTATTGAGATTTAACTCGAGACTCAAAAACTAAGCAAGTACATATTTTGAAGGCTGTCATTACCACAACAGCAACTCAGTGGCAGGAATCAGAATCAGTATCTGCCATTCTGAGATCACTCAACCATGTGAATTTATGAAGCTGGATTAAATGCTCCTAATGCAGCTTCCAACTTTATGACCCTGTGATTCATGAGCTATAAATTAACAATAATGTTCAGGAAAAGAGAAGGGAGAGAGAAGGAGAGGAAGTGGAGGAGAAAGAGATAGATATGTGGTAGTCTCAGAAGGGCAAGCACCGTACAACACACAGAAAAGGTACAGAGAAGGGGAAGGACAGACCCCGAAGACTTTGCTGACTGTATTAACATAAATAATCTTCAGGTCAGCATAGAAGGTGTCACTAAGTTAACTAAACTCCTCATTATTATTGAACCCAGGAGTAAATCAATAGCAACGTTAAGAGTTCATGCAGTTTCACCATAACATTCCCATTAAAATCTTCCACGTTTCTTTGCTGAAGCCTCACGTGTTCCCTAGAGAAAATGCTCACTCAAAAGAAGGAAGTTTACAAATGTGTGGCCATTTTTCATTAAGCATTAGGTTATCCCATAAAACAGAAGTAAAGAAGGCATATGTGGAGTTATGTTTCATTAGCATAGTTATGTAAGTAGTCTTCAAAAGTTACAGAGTGAAACTCAGGTGTCATGAACTTCTGTCTTCTCCCATCAGACCCTGTCAGGACACACTACAGGGCTCTCTTAGATCACAAATGAGAACTAACAATGTTGTTTGTTATGAGTACGAAGTTTTAATTTTATATTCTAAAAGCATAATAATGAATCAAATGAAAGAAAAACCTAGATGTGTACCAGAAAATTAAAAGTCAACAGGTTAGTAAAACTCATAACAGAACACACTTTTCAGCAAAATCAAGTAATTTAAGACCAGAATAATGATGCTGAAGATGAGACTGATTCCTCGTCGTTTCACCATCAGCCTGTATCAAGGCAATCGATGACATATGTAATTTATGAGACATATGTGAAACATACAGGGAGATGATTGGTTAATAATTTCCTTTAGGAAAAAAAGAAGATACTTGGAGATTAATGGGAAAAAAACACAGGGAATAAAAGGGGAGAAACTCAGTCCTATTACAACTGTTATTATCTTAATTTTGTCAATGAAATATGACATTAAAGCAATGCAGAATGGGAGGGAGCCACACTTCACTCACCTGCTTCTCTGTGAGAATGACCCTCCCAAGTAACTGATCTTCTAGACCTTTCATGGTGACAGTGAAGTCAATGATGGAGGTACGGGCACTTATCTCAGGGGTGTAGGCTGGGTTAGGCAGTTTGGTGGTAATGTAGAGTCTAAAGCCATCCAACACATCTACTTCCTTGTCACCAACTTTCACCTTTTTTATAAAAAGAAATTTAAAAGTAAGAAAATAGAGATATACCTTACTATGTCTTTTTTGTATCAGATCAAGTATTGTTTTAAATAATGACATAACTGGAGATCATTTGTATACTAAAAAAGAAATGGTCATGAGGCATCTGCACAGCTTCAGACAACTAGGAGGAAAGGAGGGAAGCAAAGAAGGATGGAAGGAAGACTGAATATAGAATTTAACACCAAAATTGTGATCACATTGCAGGAGTGAGATGGATCCCTTACCCAAAATTCAGTTCAGAGGTTGAGACTGATGATGCTACACATGCATCAAAAGAGTATAGAAAGGCTTATTACTCACATGATGAGATTGTGGGAGAGATCAGAGTAGGTTCCCAAACAGGTCCCAAAAACTGGCTTGAGAGAGCAGGGAGGGGCAGCTGCTCTAGGGCTTTATGGTATTTAGGGGGTAGAGCTGGGCTGAGGGTTCCCACACATGGGTGTGGACAGGGGGTTGCATGGTTTGAATTTTCAACTTGTGCCAAAGGAGGGGGCACCCAGGTTTTATCAGCTTGCGCAGATATGAGTGGGGCAGAAGGGGAGAGGGGAATGGAGAAGCTTCAAAACTATCAACATCAAGAGGCAGTCAGACCCCTTCACACACTACAAAAGTGAAGTCAATATTCCTAAAGGGATTGCTCTTGGATATTTTAATCCAAAGTCAAGAAGTGTAGAAGAGAAAAACAAACCTTTCCCATGGACTCAAATTTAAGTTGCTGCCTATTAAGGGAATTCTATCTATGTCACATTGACCTGGCCTCATGGTAACTGTTCTGCACATTGTCATCCAGACATTTAACCTACCTTAAAGGTAGACCCAGTTTTAATGAAGTTTCTTTCCAAAACATTATCTAGTGCTGGATCTAGTTCCTCTCCAACATCTTCAATAAGCAAGGGCCTTCCAAGAGAAAGGCTGTCTTCCAGCTGGTTTCTGAAGTACTTGTGATTTAAAGACGTGATCTAGAAACAGGATCACAAGGTTCAAGGTTGCTGTTGACAGACATTATTATGAAGCAAGCACAGGGATAACTGTTTTCAAATGCAGCCTAAAGCATTCTACTACAAGAGGCAAATACAAATTGAGCATCCAAAATGCCCCAAAATACAAAACTTGTTGAGAGTCCACATAACGCCACAGTGGAAAATTCCACACCTGACCCCTGTGCTTTCTGATGGTTGAATGTACACAAACTTTGTTTCATGCATAAAATTGTTTTAAATATTCTATAAAATTACCTTCAAGTATATGAATAAGGTGTATATGAAACATAAATGAATTTCGTGTTCTGACTTGAGTCCCATCCTCAAGTTATCCCATTATGTACGTGTAAATATTCCAAAACCTAAAATCTGAAACACTTCTGATCCCAAGTATTTAGGATAAGGGGTCATTCACCTTTTACATAGATTTTTAGAGATCCTGGATTTTGAAACCCACACTTGGTGAAATTGTAAAGAAGTTTAATTGTTTCCATTGTTGTTTAGTAAACCATTATTTTGTTTTATTGGGAAGCAAGTAAAGGTTCTGTGTGGCAGCAATGTTTTTTCTTCACCACTACCATTTTTGTGACAAATAATAATGTGATAATTAGGAAGTATTCATGCAAAATGCTGCAGACTTTGTGTGATACAGCTCTGCCATTCTCTGCTCATCAAAGAGAGCCCTGGACCCTGACAGAATAATCTGAAACCATTGAAAGATGGCATTGGTAGAGATTAACACATATGCAAATAATGAAAGTTTTAGAAAATATTTTCATATTAGATTTAAGCTTGCATCTGCTACTGCTCTACCTAGGATTACAAAAACATCTCTAATGTTTTCAAATATTTCTTTACTCTTGGATTTTTGCTTATCTGAGGCAATAAAACTTAACCGGTAACATAAACATACTAATACACAAATTACCTGGAGTTCATTTCGGCTTTCTTTATTTTTAATCCAGATCTTGCCTTGCGTCTGTGGATCAATTAACAAAGGGTAACGAGATGCCTTCGTGACAATAATTCCATTTTGAATGGACAGGTCATCATTTGGCAGACCTTGGAGATTCCATTCACTAATAGTAGGAGTATCAATCAACATCTCATTGAGATTTAGGTTCTTTCCAAATGGAATTTTCCGGGCTTTCATTTCCTTCCGCCAGTCATTTAACAGAAGATCACGAAACTCTTGGTTAAATGGACCAGAATAAGATAGAAAAGCTGTAGCCAACAGTACATCCCCTAAAACAGAAAACAAACACCACTGAAATACTTTAGGTTCATCCTTGTAATTGTACAGCATATTAAAAATGAAAAAAATATAAAAGACAATAATTCTTTTAAACTAAATTCCACAAATCAAACTGGAAGCACATGTGGCTGTGCCAGTGAATAAGCAGTAGTCTGGTTTATTAGTCAATAGGGTCCCAGTGGCCTACCAAGTGATACCTGCTAGCAGTCAAGCACTGGATTACTTTTACTCTCATTAGAAGTGAAAAGATGGCCTCTAAGTTTAAGAGAATCAAACCTCCTAAGACAGAGCCTTCATTAAATGTGACCTTGATCAATATACCAATGTACTCACAGAATTCTAAAGTGACCTGATAATAAAAGGCATAAAGATAGTTAACACATCTAATAAGGACAGCACAGATGCCAGACCAATGTTTCTTTCTCTGAAATAGCTGGAGAAACACACACACACACACACACACACACACACACACACACACACACACTAATTTGAAATAATCAAGCATTGTTTTTTATTTGGATTAAAGTATAAGCTGTCTAAAGTATAAGCTGTCGAATTCCCTATCACAATCAACACACAATCTCATTAATAAAGCAATTTACATACCTACAAGTCTTTTAGTTTGTGCAGCAAACTCTTGGCTTTGCTGTGTCCATCTTTCTTTTTCACCTGCCAAGCCACTGATGAGTGTGGAAGCTGTCTGCATCTTGTGTCTGCATCGCTCTGCGTCTTCAAGTAAGGTCTAACAAAAGTCATAATCACAAGAAAACTTTTACTGAAATAAATATAGCCTCTGGCTCAAAAATAAAACTGTAGAACATACCATATTATCTGCCTTCCTGAGACATGTGAGCCATTACTTCACAAGAAGCATGACATTCTATTTCCATGTGTCTGTCCAGTCCTCTCTCTTTTGCCCTGTCCTCTATCTTATCCCCTGCCCATGGAACTTGGCTGGATGCAGTTTCGCTCTTGTTACCCCAGCTGGACTCCAATGGTGCGATCTCAGCTCACTGCAACCTCTGCCTCCCGGGTTCAAGCGATTCTCCTGCCTCAGCCTCCCAAGTAGCTGGGATTATAGGCATGTGCCACCACGCCCCATTAATTTTGTATTTTTAGTAGAGATGGGGTTTCTCCATGTTGGTCAGGCTGGTCTCAAACTCCCAATCTCAGGTGATCTACCCACCTCAGCCTCCCAAAGTGCTAGGATTACAGGCATGAGCCACCATACCTGGCCAGTGCTTAGTTCTTAAAAACAAATGGCTCCAGTGGCTCACGCCTGTAATCCCAGGACTTTGGGAGGCCATGAAGTGGGCAGATCACTTGAGATCAGGAGTTCAAGACCAGCCTGACCAACATGGTGAAACCCCGTCTCTACTAAAAATACAAAAATTAGCCAGGCGTGGTGGCAGGCACCTGTGATCCCAGATACTTGGGAGGCTGAGGCAGGAGAATTACTTGAACCCAGGAGGTGGAGATTGCAGTGAGCCAAGATCGTGCCGCTCAAATCCAGCCTTGGCAACATAGTGAGACTCTGTCTCAAAAAAACACAAAAAGCAAAAAACAAATGGCTCTGTTTCTTAGTGTTTAAGCAACAATTGCTTATTCTACTTCTAAAAATCTAAACTTATGAAATAAAATGGGTATGGACAAAGGTTTAGCTACGTGACAAGTCATTGGGTGTTCAAATATATATATACATGCTAAGTGTCTAACAATAGAGGATTATTTAAATAAATTATAGTGTATCCATGAATAAGAATACTCTGAAGCCATCAAAAAAATCCTATAAAAATTTTTATGACCAAGAAAGAAGAGCACAATATATTAAGTTAAAAATTCAATTTATAAAATGGTATTCCTAAATTATCAGTTATGTTGAGTTTAAAACGCATGTGAAAGGCATATATTATGATATGAATAACAACAGAATATGATTAATGTTTATCTCCAGGGTTACCTGTATTTTCCATAGAGACATGAATTGCTTTTGTAATAATAACACATTACAGTGCTTTTCAAAAGTAGGATATTTATTCCGCTTTGTCCTAATCTATTTTCTTCCTCTAGAGTTAAGGCAAAAAAAACTAACAGTCCATCAGACAGGCACATCCCCTAACCACGGCCCCTCATATCTGTTTGTTTCCTTCAAGAAGGAAGGTGCCAGTTGGGAAGGACAATCCTACATCGTTTATTAGAAAAAAAAAAAAAAACCTTTTTATTTGTAAGATACTTTTAATATTGATTTGCTTTCGCTAAATTCCTCAATCCCAATTCCATCAGCCAAATCAGAAAATGACCAGGCCTCTCCCTTTCTGGCTTTTGTTTTCTGGAAGCCCAGGCTTCTTTGGGGGATTACAATTTGGGAGAAGAGAAAGGAGCAAATGTTGAGAATGCAAGAGAAAGAAAACCGTAAGTTCCGTGTGTTCCCCCCAGCCTGTTGAGGGAAGCACACGGGACTTACTGGGTTCCCTGAGTAGTACCCCCATCCTCAAGCCCACTCTCTCATAGGTCCCAGAGAGGTGACCAGTTCTCCTGCAGGCCTAGGCAAGCTGAACCCTAGGCAAAGGCACTGGCTTCTGCATGGGGCGTAGCCAGGACACACTCTCCTTCAATGGGCCATGCAGGCCTGGGCCATGGTGAACTGTAGATTGGAACCCTTCTCCTGCCTTTTGGGAGGCCCACAAACCCCCGGACTTTCATGGAGTCCTATGGAGGAAGAAGAGCAACAAAAATGACTGAAGATCAAGTTCAGAAGTTGGTTGCAGGAAGGTCCAGATTTTTTAATTTTTAATAAGGAATTTGACATTTGTTGAAATTCAAGTTTTAGAGCCATAATGTTACAGTTCTTCTGTGCTCCCATGATTATTTACCTAACCAATAGCAGATGCTCCAAAACAATAAAGCTTGCTGAATGAATTAAGGTAAAAATGTTAAAATTTACACATAATAAAATGAGAAGGTAAAATATTTTCCCTGTGTTCAGTAGAGCTTCCTGATACAAATCACCATTCAAAATGGCAGAAATGAACACCCCTTCCAAAGTAGATTCTTTCAAACTGCCATAATGTTTTCCATACCTAAGTGAATTTTATGAGGCATAAGTACACAAACCCACATAAGTGCTACTTCTTTTTTATAACTTAATTTTCATTTTAAGTTCAGGGGTACCTGTACAGGTTTGTCATATAAGTAAACTTGTGTCATGGGGCTTTGTTGTGCAGATTTTTTCATCACCCAGGTATTAAGCCTAGTACTTGTTATTTTTCCTGATCCTCCCCCTCCTCCCACCCTCCACCCTCCAATAAGCCCCAATGTATGTTGTTCCTGTCTATGCATCCACGTGTTCTCATCATTTAGATTCCACTTACAAGTGAAAATATGTGGTATTTGGTTTCTCAGTTTCTGTGTTAGTTGCTAAGGATAATGGCCTCCAGTTCCATCTATGTTCCTGAAAGGACACACTCTCATTCTTTTTTATAGCTGCGTAGTATTCTATGGTGTCCGTGTACCACATTTTCTTTATGCAGTCTATCACTGTTGAACATTTAAGTTGATTCCATGTCTTTGCTATTGTGAACGGGACAGCAATGAACATACTCACACATGTGGCTTTATAACAGAATGATTTATATTCCTTTGGGTGTATATCCACTAATGGGATTGCTGGGTCAATGGTATTTCTGTTTTCAGGTCTTTGAGGAATTGCCACACTATCTTCCAGAATGGTTGAACTAACTTAACTCTGACCAATAGTGTATAAGCATTCTTTTTCTCCGCAATCTCACCAGCATCTGTTGTTTTTTGACTTTTTAATAGTAGCCGTTCTGACTGCTGTGAGATGGTAACTCACTGTAGTTTTGACTTGCATTTCTCTAGTGATCAGTGATATTGAGCTTTTTTTCATATGATTATTGGCTGCATGTATGTCTGTTTTTGAAAAGTGTCTATTGCAACGAAAGCGAAAACTGACAAATGGGATCTAATTAAAATAAAGAGCTTCTGTACAGTAAAAGAAACTATCAACAGAGTGAAGAGACAACCTATAGAATGGGAGAAAATTATTGCAAAATATGCATCTGAAAAAATCTTAATGTCCAGGATCTATAAGGAACTTAAAGAAATTCACAATTTAAAAAAAAATCTCATTAAAAAGTGGGCAAAGGACATGAACAGACATTTTTCAAAAGTGCTACTTCTTTAAAGCTTCCAAAAGCTTTTACTTTGCTTGCAGAAGACTTATCTTTAAGAGAATATACCATACATTCTGCAGATAGTGAAGCTGAAATGTTTATCTAAACTCTTTTATTGGGACCCCTGTAAAACTAACAAGGCAGGAATTTCAATTCTGCCAAGTAAAGGCTGAGAAGAGGTAGGGGTGAATTTCATACAATTATCAAGGTAAAACAGAGTGAATCTAGCTATTATCTACCAAATATAGGATTTATCAGAGGCAGATACAGATTTTATTAAGCCAAAAGCTTATATACTCTAGGGAGACCACTTTATTAAAAAAAAAAAAAAGGGGGATGTATTTAAGAGAAAAAAAGTGACAAAATCCTGGTTACTTAGAAACTCAGGTACTTTTCCTCTGTGATCTCTTTAGACATTTGACTTGAATGCTCTAAAATGAGAACAAAGATAGGTAAGGCACCAGGCTGCCTTGGTTCATGCCTATAATTCCAACATTTGGGAGGCCGAGGCAGGTGTATTGCTTAAGCCCAAGAGTTCGAGACCAGCCTGGGCAACATGGTGAAAACCTGTCTCTATAAAAAATTAGCCAGGCATGGTGGTGAATGCCTGTAGTCCCAGCTACTTGGGAGGCTGAGGTGGAAGGATCATTTGAGGCCAGGAATTCGAGGCTGCAGTGAGCCATGATCATGCTAGTGCACTCCAGCCTGGAAGACAAAGCAAGACCTTGTCTCAATAAATAAATAAATAAATAAATAAATAAATAAAAAATAAATAAATCCACCCTGCCTACTTTGCAAGTTATTTCAAAGATTAAATGAGATAACATGGGAGGACATGATTTGAAAAACATAACAAAAATGCTACTACACAAGATGTTATCATTATTACCATCCCCGACTAATAAAGAAACTCAGAATGGCTATGTTCCAGCACTGACTGCCATCTTGACTGACCATCCTGTCATCTCACCAAAGATCCTTGGTGTCCATTATGTGCTATGTATGTATCATGTATAAATTCAGTGAATCTCCACAAAAACCCACACTCTTGGAGAGAGAAGCCATGGAGATGTGTGACAGTCCCTGCCATGACAAAGGACAGTTACCTGCTTTTCAGTCATGGCCTGTTCATACTCAGCCTGCACCACGTCGAGTTCCGCCTGCTTGTCATCCAACTCGGCCTGGGCTTTCTGCAGATCCTGCATGGCCAGGAGATGGCGATTCTCTTGCACCACCAAGTTAGCCTGCACAGGACACGCACAGAGTGAAGGGATGGGCAGCCAATCTCAAAACGTCCCTCATTTCAGGGTCTGAGAACTCAACTACACCGCGTGTTAATACCTTTGCTTTGTCCCAGCTCCAGGATCCTTTCAAATCACATTAAGTCCTGAACAAATCTTAATGTGAATTTGACATAAATGTGTATAAGCAGAAAGTTACAGTTCATTAGAAAGGGGGTCAGCAAATATTTTCTTTAAAGTGCCAGATAGTACACATTTTGGGCCAAGAGGCAAAATCAAAACTATTGCTCATGTACTTATTTTAGAACTATTTAAACATGTAAAAACTACTCTTATTTCACAAGTCATCCAAATATAGGTAGTGGGCTAGATTTGGCCCACAGGTCACAGTCTGCCTAGATCAGAACACTGTAATATTAAATGTATATAGGTAAATTATAAAACATGTTAATATTAAGAGTTGTAGAAAAAACAGTATTTAGAACTATCTGCCTAGCAGGACTCATCACTGTTGAGGAATAATAAAGGATGGAAAATGATTATTTACTGATTATAAACATCCAGGTTTTGTGTATCGTGGTGGTCTTGACATTGTTCCTGTCACTTTCACATACTTCTTGCCTTCTGGAAAGCATATTTGATACCTTGAGCTGTGACTAATTAAAAACGTTTGTTTTAAAGAAGTTATTAAGATAGAATCAAAAGACTTAACCAAAAGCAATATTAGCAAAAGATGAGATGTAAAAAAGTAGTTCATGCCTAAGAAATTTAGATCCTTTAAAATCATTTTTTGAAACCAAATTTTCCCCTTTCAAATTTACAAAATGTGACTATTGATTTTCATGGGATGACTAGAAGGCATAGTCTTTCTGAAGCATTTGAGAAAAGATGATTTTTAAAACACTTTTGAAATAAATTATTTTCCTATCTCAAAACTTCAGGCTTCCAAATTTGGGCAGAATAAATCTTTAAGGAAAACCTCAAGAGTTCTATAATTGACTAGATCCAGTGATGGGCAAAAGCATCGCTTGTAAGTTACAATTTAAAAAGAACGTGACTGGCGGAACATTTTTTTCTCAGCTCTGCAGTAAGCTGCAACTGTTGCCATGGCTCCAACACGGAAGGAAAAAGTAAGGTCACCATGTTAAGCAACTTACAAATTAAAGTCACCTACTAATGACAAACTCTTGGAAACCCAAAGAGTTTGAACATTTTCTAGTACTTTACTCACCAATAAATAAATAAAATTTTTATTAAACGAAGCTGTCAACAATTGCTAATCAAAATCCTTCAAACTCAATTAATTGCTCAACTTAGGAGTTGTAGAACTCTGTGCAGGTAGCTTAAACCCGGTGAGCTTCAGTTTCTTCATTAAAATATTGAAAAACTAACTCCTAGGACTTTTTGTACAGATTAAATAGTATAACATATGTAAAATCCCAAGTCTAGTCCCCAGCACATGAGTTCAATAAACAGTAGATGTTGTTACTGTTATTATCCATGTACAATATTTAAGTTCTGCTTTTTTATAAGATCCTCTTTATTTGTACCTATACTGATTTCCATGAAGTTTTACAGGAGAAATCTCATTATAAGGAACTTGAATAGAATCTAAATTGCTATTGCTGTAATTCATACTTGTTTGAATTTATTCACTACTAGAAGTCACTTAGCCCAACTACAAGGATTGCAAGATGAAAGACAGCAGCTCCTCAGTGTCTGTCCATTACTAATTAGTGTCTAAGAGATTCCACCTGAAGTTTACCGAATGCCCTTGACCTCTCCTCATTTAAGAAGCAGGAGATTGCAAGTGAAGCCCCTCCAGGAAGAAGGGAAGTTAAAGGCTTAGGTCTGAATTTCTTAATAAATTCAACAGAACCACCTGGTGACAATATGTACTCACTTCCTCTTCTACTCTTCCCTACACAGCAAACATGGATCTGTGTAATAGCATGTATTTTTCTGACTGACGTAAGAGGAACCTGACAAGCTGTGTGGTCCAAGATGCTAGATACTTATAAGAACATAAGAGAATAGACTTCTCAGAAAGAAAACACAGGTTGTAGGAGCAAATAAAAAGGTTCCCACTTCTGATACTGTTCCCTTCCCTTCCTACTGTAGGACCCAGATTGTCTTGAGACAAGCTGAAAGCTGAAATGTGGATGGCATTGAATATAGGGGAAGAGATCTCATTGTTCTTATGCAAGCCTTGTTCAGAATGTCCATGTTTAAAGATTTCAGCTATGTACTTAAAATAACAATAATAACAGAAAAAACTATGCATCATGAATTTAATTGTAGTTCTCTTTAAGACACTATGCATGGTTACTCACTGGAAAAGTATGCGAAGAATGACCTGTACTTTTCACTTGATATAAATATTGGCTCTAATTAAGCCAATATCAGATTGTCCATTTTTAAGCTACGCTGAAGTCTTCAATAGTCACAATATCCATGGTGTCAGACAGCATGACATCGATTATTTGCTCTGAAATTCTCAGACTCAAACGACTCTTTGTCCCTTTAGGTTGTCCTAGGACCTCAAGAGCCTCAATGGCTGAATAAATGGTCTTGGTATCACAACAAGTAGAAACAAAATAGAATTTGCAACTCTATGCCTATCTTCCTGATACTCTTGATTACTTGTATAATGATTATTAAGTTTCCTGGGTAGTTTACAAGTATAAGTAGAATTTAGTTGATGATTAAGAAATATGAGACTCATACAAAAGCAAAATAATCAACCAAGCCATGAGATATGATTTTGAGACTTCAGCATTTCATTTTCAAAAAACACACTCTCCATTGCCTCTCCATTTGCTGAAGACTGCCTCTTTTAATGGTAGGGGAATATGCAAAAATGAAGCTTAAGTATTCAATTACACAAAGGAAACATAAAGCGTGTCTAAAAAGTCACATTAAATAACAACTATTCAGATATTCAGTTTCTTTCCTGAGAGACAAAACAAAAATGGAAAAGGGAGGAATATGTCATGCCTTAAGCCAAGCCAAGACCAGCTTCCAGCATGTTCTGTCTTGACCCTACCTCATACATAGGATTCTCTGGATACAGATCTTAAATATCAGCAGAGGATTCTATGCTACAGTTTGCAGTGTTTTTGTTTTGTTTTGTTTTTTTGTTTGGTTTTTGTTTGTTGTTGTTGTTGCTGTTGTTTTTCCAAGTTTGCATTGTGGAGGAAAACTATCGAGTAGCCCACAATGGACTTGTAGTGAGCATCATTGCAGAGAGTCTGTCCCTGCGAATGGACTTGTAGTGAGCATCATTGTAGAGAGTCCGTCCCTGCTCAGAGGCTCATACGGTTCTGATTAGAGCAGGATTACAAAGAAGAAAGAAACATCCTGTGCTTGGCCTTTCTAATGCTCCCTCTCCCCATGGACCTGGGTACCCTAACACCAGAAGCCACAGGCACACGTGCTCCTGTGAAAAGATAAGATCGGCTGACCTGTAGACTCCGCCCAGCCACCTTCACCCAGGTCTGCCTAGGAGGCTTACCTTCAGAGGCAGCACCTCTTTGTTTATAGAAAAGAAGGAAGCCATGGCTTTCGTCCAGGAACAAAGACCAGCTACGTTTCCACATACGCGTTTAGCAGTTTCGATGTTATAGTCAGGCATTTCAAAGTAAGGACTCAAAAACTCTATCACCTCTTCATTGATTGTGTCTTTTGGGAATTGCTATGGAAGAAAAGAGTAAAATAAAGTCAAAACACTTCTTTCCATGAAGTCATACTTGCGTCATGCTCTCAATGTTACTGAAACGACTGAACGACCACAAATGAATGAAGGGCATTGTATTTTGTCACTATTTTAAGATATTAGGCAAAAGTCCTAAAGGGAAAAGCACAGTAAGAAATGATAGCAAAGAAGTCTATGAGAGCACACTCTGTCTTCTGTAGGAAAGATACCAACCTTAAATAAATATAGTGAGATCCAGGGAAAGAGCAAATTATTTAGGTGACGAACACTAATATGGTTATTAGAATTTCCAGAGCAATAAAAATTTTTTGTCATTAATCCTAAATAGATGAATTATAAGCCCATAAAATCCCCAGTGAAAAACAAATACAAGTGTATTCAGTCTGAGGACATATATATTTAGCATTTATCAGCAACTAAATGCTTAATACATTCAGACAGAGGTTTTATTAAACTCACCTAAAATGTGAAGATAATAACTTGGACATTAGGCTTTGAGGGTGATGAATTAATTTTTAATCACAGAACTATCAAGAATATGAGAGAATTATTATCTTCCGGTGGGATAAAATTTTAAAATAGTAGCAGAAATGAATTAAGAATGCCTTTCTGCATCAGAAAAAGCAGACTGACCAAACAAAGAAATTGGATCTTTTAAAAGTGGTGTTTGATCATTTAAAAGAGGATGATTAAATGTTTTCCAAGCAGAAAGAAATTTAGCACCTAAATAATTTAGTGACACAAACCTTCACAGAACACATAATGCATAGTAGAACACACTCTCATTCAGACCTCGTTTAATGTAACTCATGTTTATGAGACTTGAAAAATCGTAACCCCCAAAAAATAAAAAAGCCAGATGAATGTCTGGGAGCAACAGAAGGTCAGGGGTGACAATGACAAATAGCAAGGGAGAGTCCAAGAGCAGGGGCTTTGCCACCAGGTAAATGTCAGGAACCTGGAATCACTTGTCAGGATTCCACCCAAAGTCCAAGTCCATTGGCAGAATCTCATATTATAATTATCTGGGACAAGTCTGTTTGGCCCACTAGTTTCATAAGCTACTTATTGTTACAGCTGTTGTATGCGCCTCACCACAGGCTCCAGCCATAGCGGTCACTTGAGCAATGCTGAATTGAAAACTGAAAGAAAGATGGTGCTGAATTCACAACTTGGGAAATAGAGGTGGACTGGGTATTCCCAATTAATTGCTTTGAGATTTGAACATGAAAGAAAAGACAATAAAGCTTCCAGAAGAAAACTAGAAATCTGCCTTGGATGTGGGCAAAGATCTCCTAAACAGAACATAGAAAGCACTATTAGGAAAAATATTAATAAATTGGACTACATTAAACCTAAGAATTTCTGTTTATCAAAAGACACCATTAATCGAGGGAACAACTAATGCCAGAAAGCAGCAGAAGATATTCGCAAACATATAAATGACAAATTAGTCATATTTTATATATAAGGAAATTCTACAAAGTAATAAAAAAAAATTAACTGGACAAGCAATTCCAACAGGCACTTAACAAAAGAACTCCCCAGAGGCTCATAAGCCTATGGAAAGGTCGGGAAATACAAATTAAATCAATAATAATAAGACACCACTACAAACTCATCAGAGTAGCTAAAAGTAGAAAACAGTGAGGATGTTGAGCAACTCATACACTGCTGGTGGGTATATATATTGACACACCATTTTTGAAAACTCTTCAGCACTACCTACCAAAGCTGATGAAATGTGTATAACCAAAGGCCCAGAAATTCCACTCCTGAGCATGAAACCAACAGGAATGCACAGCTAGAGCCACCAAATGACCAATATTCACAGCAGCTTGACTTATAATAGCCATAAATTAATACTAACCCCAAAATTCATCAACAGTACAGGGACAAACAAAATGAAGCATATTACCTGTCTCTTATACACATCTAGATGTGTATAAGAGACAGGGATTACAAAGAAGAAAGAAACATCCTGTGCTTGGCCTTTCTAATGCTCCCTCTCCCCATGGACCTGGGTACCCTAACACCAGAAGCCACAGGCA